CCCGAGTCTGCGTCTCCCTCGCTCGCAGCTTGGCGTCGAACCCTTTTTATTCTCTTGGCAATTAGATTTTTTTCCCCAGGTCTTCAGATGTTGCAGAGGGGGGGCCTCCTGCCGCCCGGGAGCACGCCAGATCCTCCTGCACCCGCCAGATCCTCCACCGGCGCCGGAGCCCGCCACGAAATCCCCCTGCGGTTAATTCGCAGCCGTCGCCTTCCCTCCCCGGCACGGCGATTTACCGGGGCTCGGTGCGGTGCGCGCCTCGCGTTCCCCGGTGCGGCGGGAGGGGGTCCCCCTCCGTTGCACCCGAGGGGCTGGTGGTGACGTGGGGCGGCCGTGTCGGAGGGCGGAGATGGGGACAGGGAAAGGGACGGGAATGGGGATGGGGATGGGGACAGGGTTGAGAACAGGGAAGAGGATGAGGATGGGGATGGGGAAAGGGAAAGGGATGGGGATAAGGTTGGAATGGGAATGGGGAAGTGCTGAGGATTAGGATGAGGATAGGGATGGGGAGGAGGGTGAGGATGAGATTGGGGAAGGGATGAAGATGATGGGGATAGGGATGGGGATGGGAAAAGGGACGGGAATGGGGATGGGATTGGGGTGAGGATGGAGTTGGGGACAGGGACAGGGCTGAGGGCAGGGCTGAAGTGGAGATGGGATTGGGATGGGGCTGGGGCTGGGGACAGGGATGAAGGTGGAGATGAGGTGGGGATAAGGATGAGGATGAAGATGGGAGTCGGAATGGGGAAGTGCCGAGGATGGGGACAGGGACGGGGACAGGGACGGGGCTGCAGGGAGCGGCGCGGGGCAGGGGACAAGCAGAGGGACACCGGTGAGGGGTGCGGGGGCCCCGGGCCCGGCGAGCGCTGCTCCCGCCTGCTGCCCGATAAATCCTCCCGTCGTATATAAGCCACCCCAGCGCCGGGTTGCCAGATTTTGTCTGGTGCCTTAATGTCAGGACTGTAAATTAGCTCCCGGCACCGAGGCGACCTTGACGAGTTCTCCGCAGGGTTTAGCACCGGGGGGAGTGGAGCTGCGGCGGGGGAGAGGACACATGTGGGTGCCCCGTCCCCCGCCGTGCCTCCGTTTCCCCCAACGAGCCCTGACCCTGGCAGCTCCCAAGCGTCCGTTGGGACCCCAAGGAGATGGGGAGCGGAGGGGCCCGTCCCCCCCGGGAGCAGCTGCGCCCGGGCCCCACGGCCTGGGAAGGGGTCGCGGCCACGGTCAGAGCCTGCTGGCCGGGGTCTCTGCTCCCACCCGCCTCCGGCTTGCGAGGGGCTAAGGAGCCTTCGCACGGCACCCCCCGGCCACAGGCTTACCTCCCGGTTAGCGAGCCCCTCCCCGGCACCACACACGCTCACACACGCATGTGCATGTCCGTACACACATGTGCTTGCATGCACACGCATGTACACATGCGTATATGCATGCACAGATGCATACATGCATGCACACCTATGCACATTCATGAACGTACGTACGTGCACAGACAGGCGTATACACGCATGCACAGGCATTCACGCACACACATGCCCATGCAGGCGTGCGCATGCATGAACACGCATGCACATCCATGCACGCACATGCACGCGCATGCACGCACACGCTGCTCTGGCCTTGCTTGTGGTGCAAATCCCGCTGTGCGCAGGGCGAGCGCCCCAGCGGGTGCTGGGTGGCCGCGGTGGGGCCGCATCCTGCGCATCCCCTCCCCTTCCCCATCCTCGCTTCGGGCTCTCCTGGCCCTTCCCCGGGAGGAACCAGCCCGGGGGCTCCCCCACCTCGTCCCGGGGCCGGGATGGTCGGCCATCGCTCGCCCAACCGCTGGGCGCTGAGCTCATGGCAGCCAAACAGCTACTTAATCGATCGATCGAGACATTTATCCGCCTCCCCCCAGCCCATCGCCGCTGGATCGCCTCCAGGTCACTAAAATTAGAAGCCGTTGGAGCGGCTCTGGCCGCGCTGGGAAGGGGGAGCGTGGCGGGAAGGGGGGGTGTTTGTGCGAGGGGCGCTGGGATCGGAGGGTGCACCCCGACGCTGGTGCGTGCGCAGGGATGCGGGAGGGACGGGGACAGCAGCGGCTGCACCAGGGCTGGATGGAGCAGGGACGGGGCTGGATGGAGCGGGAGTGGGGCTGGATGGGGCAGGGATGGGGCGGATGGGGCAGGGATGAGACAGGATGGAGCAGGGATGGGTTGGATGGGGCAGGGGTGGGATGGGGATGGATGGAGCGTGAGTGGGGCTGGAGGGAGCGGGAATGGGGCTGGATGGAGCAGGGATGGGTTGGATGGAGCAGGGATGGAGATGGATGGAGCAGGGATGGGGATGGATGGAGCAGGGATGGGTTGGCTGGGGCAGGGATGGGGCGGATGGGGCAGGGATGGGTTGGATGGGGCAGGGATGGGGCTGGAGGCAGCAGAAGCAGTGGTGGCACCGCGGGGACGCCCTGGGAGGGGGTTCATGCCGCTTTTCCCCTCGTTTATTTGTGCCTTGACATCAAACGAGGGCTTTTTAAGCGCCTGCAATGGCGCGTTCCGACTTTCCAGCCCTGGGTGACCCCCGGGGGCCGCGGCCCAGGGCTGGAGGGACCCGGAGGTTCCTGGGCTGCCACGGAGGGGTCGGACTCCCCGCTTTTAGCTACAACTCGGTAGGGAAAAGGGGATTAAAACGGGAACACGAGGCAGCAATTTTATATTTTCCCTGGACATATTCTCCACTATTAAGAAAAAAAAGAATTAATAAAAAAAAAAAAAATAAGGCAGGCTGCAGCTTGACGGCTGGGCCAGCCCCCCCGCCGCTCCCACAGCCACCCGC